CTCTCTCTCTCTCTCTCTCTCTCTCTCTCTCTCTCTCTCTCTCTCTCTCTCTCTCTCTCTCTCTCTCTCTCTCTCTCTCTGTGTGTCTCTCTGTGCGCGCGCGGGGGCACGTCTTAGGCTACCTCTCTGTGTAGCCACGTCCGCGGGTTGCTTGCCCTCAGACAATTTGCCCGTAACAAACCCGAGCAGAAGCCCAACACATACTGAACCAGCCAGGCTACCACGCCAAGCCGGCCGTATGCACGGGTAACTTTCCGCGGGAGAGTTCGTTCCAGATGTTTCCCCGCCGCGCAACAACGAGTCTCAGACCCCGATTTGACCGTGCGAGCGGCTTATGCATAGTGGAGCTGGCCGCGACCTGCTCCAGTCGGGCTCTGGAGCGTGTTCATTGTCACGTAGTACGACGCTGGATTGATGGCCATAGCAGCGATGATGTCGTTGTCAAGAGCGACACAGCCGGTTTTCGGCGGCGGGACTTCTCCGCTGAAGAGCATGGCCAGCACATCTCCTTGCGTGTTCTCCTTTCCTTCACGGAGGTAGACTGTGGTTGCATCCTGGAAATCCTTTCCAGGCGTGAAGGAGTAGCAACCATAGCCCTCTCCGATCACGAGATCGATCTTCGTATCCCCTCTCTCCCTGTCCTCCTGCTCATCCTCGCTCTCCTCTTCTGCCCCGGCAAGCACAGCACCAACGTTCTTCTTCTCCAGCGTTGTGGTCAACTCCACCTTCGACGCGAACCCGCCCTTGAGAGTGACCACAGGCGAAGCGGAGCAGTTGCTGGTCACGTTCAGACTCGCGAAGGCGGCGCTCGGACTGGCAAGGAGATCGAAGATGCTGGACCTGGGCGGGGTGCCACAGCCAGACATCTGGGGCTCTGCGGAACCAGCCCCACCGAAGAGCGGGAAAACCACGGAACTGTCGCCACTGCACATTTCCCCGCTGTTCACACTCGCGCCCTTCTCCGTGTTGTTAGCGATGCCGCCCAGCTTGTAGCACACCCGGAAGCTGTCGGCCACAATACTCACCATACCCGTTAAGCCCGTCAGCTCCCCGCTGTCGCTTGATGAAGGCGGAGCGCAGCCGATGGACGACACCTTAGCCATCAACGCCGCGGTGGCTCCTAACGTGCCCCTGAGGTTCCCTGCCCTTGATTGCTTAGGGCGAACCTCCAAATAGTATTCCTCTGGAGAGTAGGAGATGTCCTTGGCCGCCTGGAAGTCGGGCACCTTCACGGATCCAGCCACAACTCCCGGAGTTGCCGTCGACAGAGTGAGCACAACCTCTCCATCGTCCATAGGCGTGCCCCTCTTGATCGTGACCTCCATTCCCGCCTTGAGGACGTCGTCAGTCAGACCGGCAGATGTCAGGTTGAACAACACTTGGCTGGTCTCTATGTTCAGCTTCACCAAGCCGACACCTGTAAAGGCGGTGTTGTTGGGTCCAGCCATCGCTCCTCGCCCGCCGCCGTTGCTCAGGAGTGCAATCATCATGGAGACGAAAGGGCAGGCTTCTCCAAAGAGACAGTCCGGCATGCAGTTGGAGATGTACGTCACGGCGGGGCTGATCGCAGAATAGGCGTTGACCAGATCGTATCCGATGGCATTGGCGCAGTCGCAGTGGTCAGCCACTCCATACACGTCATTTCTGTACTTGGAGATGGCCGCAACACACGCCGCGCTGTTATTACACACTCCGGTAAAAGACTCGCAAGCACGATAAACATCTGCGAGAGAAATGGTGGGACTTGCTGGGGCCTCCTCCACCGAGCGCAGGACCCGGGCTTGCGCTCTGCCGCTCGCGATAAGAACGATAATTGCATAGGCTATCACAGTAGCCATGTGGCTGTGCGAGAAACCGGGGGATCCCATGATGGAGATGGAGATGGAGATGGAGATGGCGATGGGAGAGTCCACCCCAATTGCCTCTAAGAGCTCGTTGCGTGATAGGGAATTGATCAGCCAACGATGAAATCGCCTATAATGTTCAGCAGTGAGACCTGTGAGAGCAGTGAGAGCGCTCAAGCGCAGCCCGGCTATGCCGCAGGACTGTACTTCCTTACAGGACACAGTGCCCACTCTCCCTTTTCACTGGAAACAATCTCTCTCTCTTGTGTGTGTGTGTGTCGCTGCGGGACTCAGCGAATGTGAAAATTGCCGAGTGTATAGTGAGTGAGAAAGTGGAAACATGCATTCGCCGTTACAGAACCTGGTTTTGTGACCGAAAAACCAGTCCCAAAAAAACGAAAAAACATACCACACACTCGTGATTATTTTTTTTTCTCTTTTCTTTTTTTCTTTGGGTTGGATCCACCCGGGGGTGGACACGGACACACTGGACTTGGCCACGGTGAGGGGGCCCTTGCTGGCCGAGTTCACAGTACATCCTGTGCAGGGAATAGAGCTGGGCTGAGGGCTCAAGTGTAGTAACAACGTAGGATAGTGTTGGGGCAGATGGAAAAAAGGGAGGGGGGCGGAAGGAACGAGGTGGCCTGAGAAGGGAAAGGTATAAACCACCAGTACCTCGCCCAGCTACTTTTTTTTCGACACGCGCGCCGCGTTGAACGGGCCACCCAGGTACCGATGACCGGTAGCCCTCAAAAAGGGGGGAAAGGGGACGGTCCGGCGTACGGTTTCAGCGGCGCTTGAAGCGCCTGCGCTACCTGTACGTTAGGTTTTTCACCATAGCTAGCGGCGCTTGAAGCGCCTGCGCTACCTGTACAGCTCGTGCTCTTAGGTTTTTCACCATAGCTAGCCCACCTCCATCACGATGATGGTGGCAAGCAAGTAACAGCTAATGACCCACGGCGAGTATTCTCTACCGCGTGGAAGCTGTTCTACTTCGGGTGACCACCTCCCCTACCCCCGCCTTTTTCGTACGATCAACCAATCTCTGACCAGAATTACCAGCGTAACGCTCGTCTGCCGAGCGTTCCGCTACAGGAGTTTACCCAGTACCTACGCTGCCATCGGTGAACGCAATACTGTTTTTCAACACGGCGATATTCTCATTGGAGCTTCCTTTACCTTTGGTGAATGCAATACTGTTTGAACACGGCGTTTTTTTCACTGGAGTCTCTTCCCTTCATTTCGCGCAGCGGATGGACTACATCATCAAGGCGGTAATTTTACCTGAGCCTACTACCTCGACTCCACTCAGTGGTGAAACCACACCATGTCGTGACGCTTCGGTACCTTTCCCTTTTCCCGCGCCCGTCTTTAATCCAAACCGTAGATCCACTCTCCAACTCGCCCTGCGACCTCCCGGCCCTACCCCCCTTTTTTGTCTTTTCCATGTAATAGAACCTAGTTTCGCACTGGTCCCTCCTCGCTCTATTTTCCTATTTTGTCCGTTTCCGTGTAATAGAAATCCCCACACGACCTCAACACCTAAAATCTCCTCCCAATAACGTACTCCCTTTCCCTCCCCCGCTTCTCCGTCACTCCTTTTCACATAATAAGTGCCAACACATTCTCGTCCCCACCTCACTCTCCAACTCCCCCGCTCTTAACCGTGTCGGGCCACTTTCTCCCCCCTCTGTTCCCGCCCTAGTAGTTCCCTGCTCCCCATCACCCCGGGGCCTTCTGACACCTTCCCTTTTTGTCCTTGTGGTAGCGGAACCACCCAATCTCATACCGGTCCCCCCTTCTCAATTTTGCTTGTCTTTTCTATGCAATAGAATCCCCCGTAGGATCTCGGCGCCTAGACCTTATCGCGATACCCCACTTCTCCTTTTTCCTCTTTTTGGCAAATGTTTCGTACTTCTCCATACTCCCCTATCGCATAATACGAACCAAATACATTCACTCTGACACCCCACCTTCCAACCCTCCTCCTCCCCCGTCCGCGCCAAATCACATCACCCCCCACGCCCTGCCCCTTCTGCGGCAAGGAAACCGACTCCCCCTCCTCTCTTGTCTGTACGCCCACCTCCCGGCCTGCAACGCTGTGACCCTATCTCTCTTATCTGACCCGCTAAGGAAAATACTACCTCACCAACTCATCCCGTCCCCCAACCATCCCTCCCACTACTTGAAACACGTCCAAATCCTTCCGACCACGCCCACCTATATCCCCCCTAACGGTTCTAGACTTGAAGTACCACAAACCGACTCGTCTCCTTTGACGTTTGGACTGTTCCCCAACCCTCCCTCCTGTCGAACAGACAATCCTAATCTCCATCGACACAACGCTCACCCCCTCACCCCCGCCTCACTTCTCACCCTGCCACCTCACTTACTTCACCCAATGCAATACTCACTACAAATTATTATTTTCCACTATCCCCGACACTCTGTTTCAAAACCTTCGCTTTTGACCGTATTCACACATAATCACATGCCTCTCACACGACGAGGTCACACATCCCAACCTGCCCCATCTACTATGCTTCCCCAGCACAACTCCTGGTTGAAAATCAACACACACACACATCATGACTCCTAAAACTAGCTTCTTCCCCTCAAAATTTACCCTCTGAGCACACAGATACCACCTTTATTCCCGACCTGATATCCGGGTACTCGAAGATGAATAGCGACACTGGCAGGCCCAATACCGCATCACCACAAGACGATATGGAAGATGATGAAGTCCAGCAACTCACCGGAATGATGGAAGAATGGTACCTAAATCAGATTTCACAGGATGTTTCAAACTACGTCAATACCACCGTGAACGAGGAGGATGATTGTATCGAGATCAGACCGAAGGAAAACATCCAAATGGTACAAAATGAATTCCTCAAATGAATGACAGCCGCACTGTCTTTCAGGGTGACACCAAGAACTGGTCCAATGACAAGAAAATGGATCTCATCCGGTACCTGGAGGATTCTGTCCTCACAGAAGAAGAACTCCAAACTCTGAAAGGGATAGCACATCTGGAGGGTAGAGGACATATGACATACGTAGCGAAAAGTCTGAAAGTGGTAGACTGGCTACTGAATGTGAAGAAGGAGATGAAATTCAAGGAAGGTTCGAAATGAAATTTTGTTTATTTCCGTCAATGGGTATCGTGCGCTGAATGGCAAAAGAAGAGAGAAGATGACAAAAAGAAAAATTATTGGGTCATGGCCATGCGTTTTCCCATTGGTGCCTCAATCTTCATCAAAACTGGCATTGAGGCAGTCATGGGTAAGGTGGTAATGAAATTCGACCCAGTAAGTGACCCTAAGGACCCGAAACTGGGTAACCTCAAGTACCAACTTCACCCAAGTGTGGAAGAGTTTTTCAGAACTCACCTGAAGGTCTGGACTGGTCAGGAATTCCTAATTGCAGACCTGGTCAACTCCAACACCCCTTGGTGCTCTAAATGCAACAGGCATGGGCATAAAGTCGATGATTGCCCATACTGTTACATTTGCTCCAGGTACGGTCACGATATAGACGAATGCCGATCAAACCAGAATAACAGGCGGAAGCAAGAGGAACGACCCAACTACGATACCTCCTCTCACTTTGCGGATTTTCCATATCTGTACAACCCTGGCTTCAGCAAAGGACGCAACAGATGGGAAAACACAGCAAACAGGGAGGAACAGTTACAACACCCTACAGGCTGGTACCACAACCCCACGAGGGGATGGCCACAAGGCCCGTCCTCCTCAGCAGTCGGAGAGAGAAATCGGAGACACAGACCCCCCAGATCTGAAAAGATCCAACCACAAGGCAGATTAGGATGGCGTCCGATAGGCCCTCTGAACCCGACACCTTTCTCGAATTTGTTCGGCACAGTCAACATACCAGGCGAAAAGCTACCTCTGAATATCCCGGGTTCTTCTGCCACCCCAGCACCGCTGACCATCACCGAAGCAGGAGAAAAAAACCCACATGCTCAGAACAAAGACCCAACGTCACGACAAGATGGGACGTTCAGTGAATCGGACGCAAGTGGGACTTCAAGACCAGCCCTTTCGCAACACCCAGCACCAAAGGCTTCTTCGTCACCTCCACAACAACCTCAGAAGAAGTTGAGATCGGAAGATCTCAAAATGGCAGAGGTTTCTCAACGAACCAAGCCACCACACACCTGGGTGGGTCCGGTGAATCCCACAGCACAACACGAATTTCAAACCCCATTCGTTCTGGCACCGCTGGTCTTCAAACAATGCAATCAGAACACCCTACTCATGCTACAGAGGAAAGACGACAACTCGCTTCACCTGCCATCTCTCACTACCACCACCTTTCCTCACCCAGAGGTTTTCTTACAGGCAATTAGGCGTACACTCGATAAGAAGTATTTTGTACGCCAGGTCCCTGCTATTCCCGGTTCTTCGGTCTACCGGAGAGGAGAATCAGGTAAGAACCACCCCATCATGTCAGTATGCCTAAAGGCAGTCATCGGACCTGGAGTGGACCCTCGGGTTGCCGATGAAGGCCTTTTTTGGGCCCCACTCGCATGGTTCGTAAAAGGGAATAAGAAGGAAAGATATGCCTCAGCCCTGGGCGATGGTATCACAGGAGAAATCATTACTGAACTCGATGCCTACATACCGAAGGAACGATCTCTTTTCTCCAGATACATACTGGAGACAATGAGATTCCCCTAGGATACTCCTGGACTTGTATCCACGTCTGAGCTAGCTGCGCCTATCCAACCAGGGACGCAGGGAAGGCCAGCAGATGGACAATAGGCTCACCATAGCCTCTTGGAATGTTCGCGGCCTGGTAGATGACAATAACAAAAAGAGAAGATCGCGACTAAAGACTTGGATCCACTCCCTGAAGGTGTCCGTCACCATGCTAAAGGAGACCAAATTATCAGAGGATAAATTAGTCTCCACGCCAAGATGGTGGATCGGACCACAGTTCTGGGCCCCGGCCCAGAGCTCGAAGCGGGGAACAGGTATCCTGATCCACAACAAATTGTTCGGCTGTCTGGACGACTCTGGCTCACACCCTCTGGGTCACTGGACTTGGGTCTCCCTAAATATGGAAAATCGACGCTGGGTCTTTCTGTCGGTATATGTTCCG